TTTCTAAGAGTGCATGTTAGAAGAGTATTTAAAGAATATAAATGTCCACTTCTTTTCCCCCTCTTTCTGCAAGTTTCAAAGTGAACAGGTACAGGGCATCCAAGCAGAAAGTACTTATATTTTAACCTGACTGTTTCTTCAGAGGATGAATTCTCAGTGAAGTGAGGAAAGCTACAAAACATAAGGTACTGTTTAAGTACAAACAATGCCCTAACAACTGCATCCTCCCTCCACGCAATATACTCAACATCTTATTTATCTTTCCCAAAAAACACTTCTTGAATTGAGAAGCAGAACACAAGCAAAATGATTGTATCCCTTTGAGTTGTATCCCTCCCTTAGAAGTATCCCTCATAATTAGGGAGTCTACTATGCCAAAACAAAAAAGGACACTTCAATCATATTTTATGACTCACAATAACTGAGATAACATTTTAATACTTTACAGAATTCAGAGACTGAGTAGTAATTTAAACTCCTGGAAATTCACAACTTGCAGCTATCTTCCACTTTGTCTCACCTCTATTCTCAGTACTATGGATTTTTATCTTTTTCTTTGTTAACACTTTTCTCAGTAGATAGAGCCCTTAGGCATGCTAGAATCTGAATCATAAAGATCTCAAATAGATAAAACAATTCTGAATTTGGAGTACTCATTCCCTGTTAACCATATGTCAACGGTTTACGGGCTGGTTCGGCCCAGTGAAAGTCCTACTTGAGTATCAAAGATTTAAGTTTAGTGTGTACAGTTACGATTCTATTCACTGCAACTAAAGGATGCTCTACAATAGGTAGAATACACATATGCATAATATTCATAATGCATACATTGAAAGCAGCACACTGTAGCAATCCCTCTAAGTTGAGTGAAATATTCTACATTTGAATTTCATGAACATGGAGCACTCTGAGAACTATCAGAATTCAAAGACAGTTTCTGGATACCCTTGGCGCCTGAAAAAAAGGCTCCTGAACCCAGGGATTCTAACCTACTCCTGGGAAGGTAGATGAGAATTAAGACAGATGCTGTCTCATCCATGTTAATAAAAAAAAGGGAAATGACTCAGTTGCAATGTTAGCCCTTACTCACATTTTCCCCTGAGAGTATATCTCAAAATGAACATATATAACATTTGAGATTATATTTGTTTCCTTTTTCAATGATGCATGCAGTGTAGGCTAATAAATCATGCTGTATCTTAGATCATCTTTTAAGTTTTGTCCTACAATCTCTTGCTGAAGCAAATCAATAAAATTTGTTTGCCTGAAAATGCTGTGATGTAGTGATGTGGATGTATATTTATCAAACCATCTAGTCAAGTAGAGCAACATGACTTTTGAAAAAATCTAGACAATTCTACGCTTAAACTTCCTGAGAACTAACAAGATTCTGCTTTTAGTCAATAATATCCTGGGCTGCATTGAAGGAATATCTAGCAGATCAAGGGAGGTAATTCCCCCCAGTACCAAGAGGTGGCCTACATGAACGATGGGAAGAAACTTGATCAGAGGATGTAGAAATAGGTAATAGTTTTAAACTAAAAGAGGAGAGATTTATGTTAGGTATTAGGTAGAAAATCTTTACTGTAAGGGTGGTAAGGCACTGGAACAGGTTGGCCAAATATGCCCCATCTCTGGAGTGTTCAGGGCCAAGTCATATGGACCCCTTTGGGCAACCTGGTCTAGTGAGAGGTGTTCCTGCTAGGGTTGTTGCAACTAGATCGTCTTTAAGGTTCTTCTCAACCCTAACCATTCTATAAATCTATGATCTAGTTCTTTTAACTTATCTGCTCTGTAAATTGTCAAGACAGCAATATGATGACAAAGATTAGGATAAACCTGAAAAGCTACTGATATTAAGAAAATAACTGAATACGTGCACTTTATTTTTCATTTGGTGCATAGAAATTGCAAAACAATATGATATTGTGTCAAAATGCTTTCAATATATTTCTTAAATATATATATTACACATTTTTAGTTAAAAAAAAGATCACAGAATGATCTTAACTGTAGAAAAAACCTACAAGTAAAAAGCAGTACATTAATTTGTAGAAGACCTGTATGAAAAGCAGTTATTTGTTCAAGAAGAACTGGTATTTTGTCAACTATTTTCTAAACTCTAAACAAAATCTAACATACAGAGACAGGAAGTCAGCACTTTTCCAAACATCAGTGTTCTGCATTACATTGACAGTTGTAATTTGCAGAACAAATGAATTTTTACTACTTGAAACTGTTAGCTCAATAGTATCAATGTAACTCTGAGACAGAAAATAAAGTCTAGTATTTTATTCATCTGTGTAGTTAAACTCCCTTTAAGAGATACTTTTTGTAATCCCATTAAGACAGAAACTCATACAAGTCTTCACTGAATGGAAAACATGGCCTATGGAATCAATGATGATGATGAGCACAAGAAAAAAATCACAGAATACTCTCAGATCTCAGGTGGAATTTAGATCACTGCATTCAGGTATTCATGAAAATGTAATTTTCCTCCAGTAAATTGAGTAAGTTTTATTTGAAGTCATGGAGAAACAGCAACAAGGCACTACATGAAGCCAAATTCATCATCATTTTTCAGAACGATATTCTGTCCGTACTGTTACGAACTCACTGCAGTCCTTCATGTTTAAGTACAAGACTAAAAAACTATCTTTTATCATCAAACAACTTTTCAGCTTTATTTCCAACCCTGTCAAAAATTGCTTTATTGCACATTTCTGAGAGCTTGAGATTTTTGTTAAAGAAGATTTAAGTAGTTCTTACATGCTGTTAACAAAATATGGAAGTAGATTCTTGTGAATTCCAAACTGTGCCATTACTTAGATTAACATTTATAAAAATCCCAAAAGCACTTATCTAACTGCTGAATGGGTGTCTTCTTTGGCTAACTTCAGTAATCAGATGTATGAGAAGGATTTGCCAAGAAGAAATTTGAAAGATGATTTCATCTCTCATAAAAAATGCAAAATAGATGTAAAAAGCTCATGTCAAACTATCCCCTGTATCTATTCAGAAATTCTTACTGTCTATTTGCTCCTTCATTCCCTGTCACATATTTTGACTTTTTGCTTCATTCTCTCCTGTGAAGATTTTTGCCTTTTTCCTACTAATTTTTTCTCCCTTCAATTTTTTTTTCTCATTTTGTGACAATGATACCTCATGAGCTCCTCTAGCATATAGAAGGAAGATCAGTACATCTAAGTATAAACGTTTGGCAGCGTGGAAGATGTTCATGGGCACTTTTCAAATCTATAAACCACTTCTTAATGTTTTCTTTAAGATATGCTTCATCTGATCAGCTGTATGCATATTTCAACACATATTACTCAGTAAACATAGCAATAGTTGTTATTATTTTAGTCCCAGAGAGGCTTCTATTATGCCTAAGTTCAAATTAATTTACTGACTATGAAATTGCTTACTGTTGTGGGCACCATGAGCTGCTCAATAGACATTATGAGCACCATGAAGCACCTGGCAGGCACTACAGAGCTGTAGTGCTACTACTCAGCACATATAATCAACAGCAAGCTCTCTGAGGATATTAAAAGTGGTGTCAAGTTATTGGCGGTCATTACAAATCCTGTCAAGTGTTCTGGACATAATAAATAGTGGTAAGAGCTAGATGAGTTTTATAAATTCTGTATCAGAGGTGTGCTAGGGAGCCCTATTAGGAATTAAAGTATGACATTCTGAGAAACTGCTGTTTCATTTCATCTGTAAAATTTGCAGGCTCATATTCATTGGCAACCTGGAAATACCAATTAGCAGCCCTTAATCAGTTCTTCTGATCATTCCAGTGTTTTCAGGAGCAGCACTTTTCCTGCTGGGAAATGGATCTCTATGAAGATGCCCATGCTGGGTCTCTATAAAGTGGTAGCTTGATATTTGGAAGGAATTACAGATTTTCAAATGATCACTAATGCAGGCTACTGGAAACTTCTCACCCTTTCACTCACAAGAGCACATTCCTTATTCCTTTCTAGCTGGGTATCTGTGCTTCCTTAACAATTCAGCCACTGAATGACCTATGGTTCACAGCTTTTTACATCTATCATAATTTGTAAACATTTCTATTGCCCATTATTAAAACTACATTTTTTGTTATGACTCCAGCTGACCCTGATCTCCATTCTGCTAGAAAAGTGTTAGTAACACACATCATTCCTTTGGTGAATATGGGAATAAAAGTGTGACTTTTCTCTCATTTTCATAAGGTATTCCACCCCACCAACGTTCTGTCATTCAACAAAGCCAAAGATCCAAAGATTCTGTGATTAATGAAGTATGCGTCAAATAATATTTCTGACAATGGAGCCCACCAGCACAGTCACAGGCAGGGATATCTTCTATGCAGTGTAACTTTTAAATTCATGATGTTTCTCTGTCCTATGCCTTATAATGTTCAGCCAGAGATGAATTTTCTTTGCTTGTTTGTATTTTTTGTTTTCTTCCTCACACTGTATCCTTCATGTTTGCTACAGTGGAAAATCTCAGAAAGCAATTCACTTACAGATCTAAATTTAAAGAATTTGCCTAATGTTCACTCTAAAAATCCTATTCATCCATAGAAAGTGGTGCTGAAGCGTACAGAACAGGTTCACAAAATGAAAAATAAAAGAACAAAATCTGATATTTGTGTCAGAGATACAACTTAAAGGCAACATTTTCTAAATTCCTCAAGGAAACTTCAGTTTCATGCAATATACAACATAGGGCTACCATCATGTATTAATGTTTCAAGTCACGAATATACGTTACCTAATATATAGACAGGACAATGGTGTTCTCTCAATATATATACAAGCAAATTGTAATTTTCCCACTGTGTTTTAATCTTAGTTGTGTTTTCTGTGCATTATCCTAAATTTCCTGCTGCAGTAAGTAAGCCAAAGTTATTAATACTTTTTTGGCGATACTACCACTTTTTTAAAAACATTTTTCTCTCAAATCCACTCCAATTGGTGATGTTAAACACCAATACAACTCACCACATATCAATTGGTTTTCCTTCAGGTTACGAAAAGACTGTCCTTGTAAAGCACTGGGGTAAGCACAAATCGTTTCCTCTGCAATTCGGACTGAAGCATTTCTAGCCCATTGTAAGACCCATTTCAGATTACAGTCACAAATGAGTGAATCGGTGTTGAAATGCCTAGAAGAACAAAGGAATAGCACAGTTAGCGTGCATGCAATTCTCATACACAAACTTTCTCCAAAGTCTTTTAAATACAGATTATCACATTCTAAAGACAATCCTACATAGACGTGTAAGTAATTATACAGATACCCTGAGACAAATAATGCACATTGTCCCACTCCTAATGTCTTTCAAAACATTATGCCAATTTTTTTTTTTTTTATTTGGGAACAGTATTTCTGACTACTAACTTACATGTGGTGGTACCATAAAAAGCCACACTGCAAGATCCATTTATTTACTAAAACACCTTCAAGTAGAAAATTAATCACGGAAACACCCAACATACACTTTTAACTCTCAGAGAGGTCCATTTAATATAAATAGCCAAGAATTGTCATTATAGTTCCAGACAAAGTTTTTAACATGAGTGCTTTTGTGTGTTCACAGTTATCACACGATGTAATGCATACAAACATGGAAAGGTGTAAAATCATAAAGTAGAAAAGAATAAATATGAATGCCATTCAGGATTACCAGTGTGGGTTTGTCAGGAACTGCAAAATTCTCAAATTCTCAGCACAGACACAGGCATTGGTAAGAAAATACTGCATATTTTATGTTTCGTGCGTATTTTATGTTTTTTAATGCATTGATAGAAATAATTCTGTTTGAATTCAACTACACTATGTTCATTGCAATGTTGGTTTTTTTTGACTCTTTAAGAAGGGAAGGAATCATACTTACAGTGCTTTCAGAGCTAGCAGCTCAGAAAAGAGTCCATTCATGAGACTTGAAAAAATATTCCCTGACAAATTCCTAGAAAAAAAAAAAGTAAATTATGGATATAGCAAATACATGAAAACAAAATTGTTATAGAGTGTAATTTTTTTTCCAAGTGCTAATTAAAAAAAAATGTCATTTCCTGACCACAACAAAGACATTTAAATTTGTATATTCCTTTTTGTAAATGACAACAATATTCAAATCAAACCATGGACTTTTACTTATTTTATTGTCACAGCAGGTACGCATACAATTCATTCCATTTAAGAAACAGGAGGATCCGTACATATTTAACAGAAGTAATATTTCTAGAATTTCAGTGTAAATATTCACACAGTGATTTGTCACCAAGACCTATGTTTTAATTTACTGTTTATGTAAAATGCTACTTCAAGGTAAGCAAATAAAACATCAGTTTAATAATGTTTAGATGAATCCAAGCATTTTATTTAAATAGCAGTGGGTTTTCAAAGTAAACATTTTTATCACAAAAGACTTTAAATAAATGAATATTCCTATCCTCACATTCTTAAGGCCATTTCCATTTTAACTACAGTTTTGCTATATTTTTGGTCGTGATGTCTGAATGGATTAAGCTGAATACTTGCATATAGATGCAATTTAGTATTTCCTCATTCAATATTACTGTTGAATCAGCATCTTAGAAGTACAAGAGTTAAATGCTTAATATGAAATAACGCTGCCCTTTTAAGTACCTGTAAAATAAAATAAGTTGTAGAGCCTTCTGGAAACAATTAATCTTATTTTTGTATTCTTGGCAATTCTTGGAACAAAAGTAATTTTTCAACAATCAAAAAAAAGCTTTGAACAATTCAAAATTTCATGGTAGCTTTCAGCAAAACTCTACTAATAGAAAAAAATAACTGGCTCAGCAAAGTTAAGTGAAATTATTTCTCATTATACTGAGTGACAGTAAGATATGTTGATATAATTGAGGTCACTGCAAGTATTTTGTTTAACAGTGCACCCTTAATACAATTGAAGAACTAAGCTCTTGGAAATGGAAGGGCTTTCTAATTTGCCTTGAAGTGTAGGTATATATAAGATAGCCTCTTAAAATTAAATGGACCTACTCATGCTTATTGGACATAAGCCCTGGCTAAGCATATACTGAAGCAGTTCAGTGAACTGGGACCTTAAAAGAACCGAATGAGAAAGTGATAACCCTGACATTTACACAGAAGTAGACCAGAAGTAGCCTCACCAGTAGGAAAGCAGATACAGTAGTGCCCCGTTAACTGACAGGACAATCAGGCTGAACTGAAAGATAGTAGAAGTAATCTGCCTAGCCATGTATGGATGCCAGCTGAAACACAGCACCACTTCCTCTTTACCCTACTGCAGTATGGCAGCATTTCCAATTTGATGCAAATCCCATTTTAATCCTAAATAGCTGGCCAGACTTCATGCAGTAAAATAAACAGAATATCAACACTGAAGTTTGGTAATTCTGTTTGGACCTAAGGAAGGCTTCATTTCTGGTCAGTATTTGAGAAAGCAAGGAAAAACTAGATCATTTCCATGGCTGATGTAGCAATATTCAGCAAACAGACTGTGGCTATTCACCTGCTGAAGGTGCCCATCCTACATCTGATAAATCTATGCACTTTCCATAGGTCCTACCAAGCCCTCTTAGATATCTCACCAGAATTGCCTTTCGTTAAACTAAAAATTCCTAACATGTTCTTTTCAAAGACTTTTTGTAACTTTTCCTTGTGAGATTTACATGTTTTCATCAGTGTTTTTGGCAAGTAGTGGAATAATCGAGTTCCTGACAGTTCAGAAGTCAGCACGGAGCCAGTAAGTCAGTTTTCATATTCTTTCATATTCAGCCAGTGACCTGGCTCAAAATTTCCACACTACTACTAATTAGCTAATTAGCACACCAGTATCATGTTTACAGTGCTGTATAAATCACAAATAAATTTCTACATCCCACAAGCACAGTATAAAAGACTGGATCTCCCCAACACTGGGAATAGCCTCTTTGCTAACAAAGCACTCTGGAGCATTATTAAATCACCCAATAACTGAACACTTCTGAGCCAGATGTCTGCAGCGTGCTGCAGATGCCTGGTTCTGCTGGCTCACATGACACTTATATTCTGCATTAAAATATTTCTATTACCACAGCACTGTGAAATTCCACCATTTCAGATATCTTAAAAACCCACTCTAGCTTGACTTAAAAGGAAATTTGTTCTTAAAACATCCCCATCACCTAGTTTCCAAACATTTCAAACATAACAAATTAATGCACTCCAAAGCTGATAGCACTTGCTACGCCATTAACTTACTACATTAATAGAAACGTGTGCTCTCTGTTATATCAGAGGTAAACCATTTTAGTTTTACGTACAGAGTCCTGCACTTATTTTTTTATATATCAAATACTCTATGCTTTTACAGAAATTAATAAAACACTTCTGCCAGAAGCTTTAATATAAATAACAAATGCCATAAAACAGCCAAATGCACCTCGAAGGACTGATTTGAGGCAAAGTACAGGTGGAAACAAAGTATATGAACATGAAGTATGTTTCACTCTTGTAAACAGTATTAGAAAGCAGAGACTGAATGAAAAAGCAGTAGATTCTTCTGTGCAAAAAGAGAAGGTATAAAACCTACAGCACAAATAGAGGGCAGGCTCTGGTGCATACTTTCTCAGTACGGGGTCTATGTGATTCACAGTGTTATTCTGGTTTTGTACTTTATCTCTGGCACCATACAAAGGGAGTAGTTTCTTCAATGACAGCAACAAAGTCACACAGGAATTTATGGTATAATATTACCATAAAGCTAGTTGGTGATAATGATTCAGAGACAGGATGACAAATAAATCAGATGTACTTTAATCAAACAGTTGGAAGTAAAGAGGAAGGTCCGTCTGGAACTTCTTAAAGGAAGATCCAGCACTAGCTGCTTGTTGAAATAGGTTTTAATGCAGTAACATGCCAAACCTGAAGGACTAACTTATTGGGGACTATTAAGATGAAATCTGGTCAGTCAGTACAGTGGCACCAACCCAGTATTCCATAGCTCTTGATATTTAAATTAAGTATAAACGGAATTAGTATGGATGGCCATGCCATTACCTACCAAAAGTATATTTGCATACATCATTCTGGAACAAAGCACTGAAACACGGCCACTGAGGAGCTGAAGGAGATCTGGAAGATTTGTTGCATTCAATTATGTCAGTCCTAGTTAGAATATGTGCACCCCAGCACAGCATAAACACAGCTGAAGGATGATATATTAAGTCAAAAAAGTTAAGCTAATATCTTAGAAGACATAATAAATCTTCTCTTATGCTGTCTGAGGCACTGTCAGATGCATCTGTCAAACGATGTGAAAGCATTTTGAAATCATTCTTCAAGTACAAATCATCAAATCCAAAAAGGTGTAAAAATTAGATCACCCTCAAGGAACATAATCACAATTCACTGCCTGCAGTGATTTTGGGAGCTGTATGAAATTTTATATTTCATTACTAATTTGAAATTCAATTCCAACTCACTAAAATGTACATCCTGACCGGAGTAAGAGACTTTTTTCCAAAAGGCATGATTAAGAGACTTATAAGTTCTATTTGGATTTTGTATGTGTTTATGTTTTCAAAACAATATTTGACGATACTACCAATTATTATTTTTTAGATATAAATTTAAGAAACCTTGAGGTTGCCCTGTTCAGTATAGTCTACATGAAATCATCAAACCCTTTGAAGAGTCCTTGAGCAATCCCTAAAAGCTAGACAAGTTTCATCTTTCATTTTAGAGAAGTATGTTTACATACATTTATCCTCCTGAGTTCAGATATATCTGTCACATCATTTGATGAAAAGTTACATCAATTTAGTCCTAGACTTGATTTTTTACTTTTTTCCCCCCCACATTTCTATTTTACAAAGCCAAAAACAAGCGAAACACTGCATTATTTTGTTTCACCTGGTATTTGTGCTCATAAACACGACCAGGAAAACTCATCTGTATAATTCACAGAAGGTGCATAAGGATTTATGTCCTTTGCTCTTTCCAGTGGACTCACGGCTCTCCCTACTGGTTCTGATAACAGCCTGCAAAGATCCTTCTGTACTTCATCTCTGCTAAAGTAACACAGGAGAGCTCTAATTACTGCAATCAACAATTGCATAAATAATTATTTCTCTATATATATCTTTATAATGCTCCTTTGATATTCTCACCCATAATTGGTAGTTATTAAATCAGTTTATTGTCTAAGAATTTGTCATCTTTTCTTTAGTACAATTCTATACATTCATGTTATAGTAAGTAAATGCCAGTCCACACTGTTTTCAGAGAATACACTCCTGAAAATACCAGTAAATATGATTCAGAGATATCACTAGCTACACAAAGGAGACTTATTGTAATTTATAGATTGAAATAATTTGTTTTTTGAAATTTTTTGTAAAAAAGTCCAACGGAAAAAAAAAAGCTAGAAAGTGTTAGGCTTAAGGCAGCAGGTTGGTTAGCTCGTAGTCAGCAAAAAAAAAAAAAAAAACAACAACAACAACAAAAAAAACACTAGTTCTTACATTCAAGGCAATTTGAGATTACTAACTCAAACGATTTTTAATAATTATGTCATTAATCAGATTTCTGAGACAGAGGAGCAAGTAACAAGGTGAATAGTGGGGACTTGTTCCTCTCAACTGTGATGGTAGTGGCACAACATAATCACCAACTCAACAAGAGTAATGCTGCTCTTGACTCTGGTTTGTTAAAGATGACAGCTTGCATAAAAGATAAAGTCATAAATTTTGATATAGTAATCACAAACTCATGGTAAAAAAGAAATTTTGTCTAATCTATGATAAGGCCTCTGACTTCCAGAGGACAGACTTCAGAAATGATAGTAATTGAAAAATAATAAAGTAACTGGAGAAAAATTATTGAAGTACATGAACTGGCATGCAGGATGATCTCAATAATATAATCAACTGTAGAAAGGCAATTTAAAACGCAAATTAAAAAAATGGAGAACAAAAAAGTGAACCAACAATGGTTTATTGAGAAATAACTTTTTTTTTTTAAAGATCAAAGATGTGGAGAGCCAAAAATAAACTGAAAATGCTAGTAAAAAGTCCAAAAGTATAGAGGGATTGTGAGAAAAACTAAAAATGAAGTTACTCTTTGGAAAGTCTACCAAAAAAAGGTGGTTTACTACACTAAACAGTTCTTAGTACAAATAATAAGTGAGAAAGAGCAGATGTTATATGTAGCATAGATATATCCAATTGCTACTATTTCTGACTTTTCAGTGATGTTGGTCATCTGGTTTACATGTGTTTTATGGGAAATACATCATTAGATTCTAGAATTGATCTTTCCTAAGATCACCTACAGAATGACTAGTAAGATGCAGAACTAGTTAGAATCCAAAAATACCAGGGGAGATAGAGGCCTTCAATACTAGTCCTCATCACATGAAAAAAATTAGTATAAATTTTACATTTTTTCCTTCTGATATAATATAATGCTAGATATACACTAAAATCAATCAGTAATTTTTCTTTTCTAGAAAATCACTGGTTTTATTAATATGCTTACAGATCTTCAGTAAAAGCATACTATAAAAGATGAAAGAAAACCCCAATCTGCCAACATTTTTTTTGTTTTTCTTTTTTTCAGAACTCAGCCAGTAACTGCTTCAAATACAAGGGAATTCAAACTAACAGGTCTATCAGAATCATCCTTTTTTGCACTGACGCATGGACATAACATCCATAAAGAAGAATCCACATAGTAATGAAGAACCTGGGGATAAGAATATTTGTGGTATTACATTATAAGCTAATGGGCAGGACAGAAGAGAAGGGAGTGAGACACTGCTGGTGTTGTGCAGAAACAGCCTTGTGACTGACTACTTAGAGCTTTCTCTAGTGATTTTGGCTCAGAAATGTAAATACATGAAAATAAAATCTGGTAATAACAACAAAGTTTAGCCAACATTAAGAGAACCATTTTCCAAGAAGAGGTGAGCGTATTTGAAGATAGTAGGTCAAGTAATTTCACTAAATAATATTATTCAAAGTAATTTCCATCTACACTCGGAAATGAAATTTAACCTCATACTGAGGAAAGGATAAATATTTACCTAGGGTGCCTAAAAAGACATGAGGCAAGAAAAACACAGTGATAGCCATAATGTATGGGGAACTGATGAGACTTTCTCTGGATCTGCATAGTCAGAAAAAAATCTTCAAGCACTGTAGCGGGGTCAGAGTTTGATTATCAGAGGGAGCAGGGATATGGGAGACTGTTTTACCAAGTGACACTGTAGTGCTTTGGTTGGTTCAGCTTGGTAACTACTGAGCTTTGCCTTGCATACATATTGCTTTCTGACACAAGCCAAGAATGCAGAGATCGTCTTCCACTGTCCTTCCCGGTCTTCATGGGAAAGGGCAAGTATAGTCAAACACTGCCACAGAAAAAATGCTGAAAACTCACTGTGAATTAATTTCTGTTCTTTATATTCACAAGACTGAAATTTAGCAGTTAAGATGGTTTAGAACAATTTATTAAAAAAATAAAAATAAAATTTTTAGACTTTTTCCCAAGACTGCAGGGATTTGAACAGTTTCTGGTCAGGTTGCTCATACTGTCTAGAAGGTTACTTCACCACTCTGAATTAAACATACCTTCTGTGATAATCTGACTTTATAGTCATAGTCACATTCACTGAGCACAACAAAAGGAAACATGGCAACCCCCAGAGACAGGTTGGGTTTTTGCCCAATCTGACCACATGCCTGAAATGAGTAAAAAGAGGAGTGGGCAACTTGCTATCGAGGCTCCTTCCATTGTCTTTTCTCATTTGTATACATCAGAGGAGATCTGGCACAGTTGCTCTCAATAATGCAATGAGTTAAGTGTGCCAGTTTGGGGCCTTTTACCCAGCATAATTTTGATCTCCTGGCAGATCTTTCCAGAAAGATTTTCCTATCTTTTCCAAGGTTAGTTTCTCCAAAACTGACTTGGAGAGAAAGAAAATAAAGCTTGAGATTTGTAACATACTGTGATACAGGACTGATTCCCCATTCAGAAATGAAGGCAGATGTGGATAAAAATGCAGAGCCCTCCTGGGTCTTTCTCAACAGGATACACTGAAAAGTGTATAAAAAATATTGTTTCCTCCATTTATTCTCTCAACCTCCAAATATTTGAAACTCAAGAATTTCCTGAACAATACCAGGTTTCTATGAATTCAGTAATCCAGCAGGGATTTCTCTTTCATAATATTATTAGCCTCTTGAATTCATGTAAAGTTTTAACAGCATCCTGCAGCAAAGTGTTCCTCAGCTTTGTCTTTTGTTAAAAAATAATGACAACAAACCTTCCTTTTGGTTTGCTTTTTTTCCAGTTTGCCTCACAGTATTTTTTCTCAGTATCCTCTAGTTTCTGTACTGTCAGAGATGATGAAAAATAGGTTGCTGTTCATCTCTATTATGATATTCAGAATTTTACAGTCTCGCATCATACTTCCCTTCCTCTCAACTGTCCCTTTCCCAGCCAGAAAAGTTGCAGGCAACTTACTCATTCCTAGTGCTGCACCTCTCACCACTCCATTCTATCTCGCCTTGAGCCTTTCAGAGATTTGATCACCTTCCTTAGCTCAGTGGACTGAGCAGACTGCCCACATTATTCAAAATGCAGCTGCTTAGCTTTCTTTCTGTAGTACTGTATATGTTCTCTGATTTTTTCTCTCCTTCATTAATAATACTTGTTGTTGTTTTTTTTTAAGTGATACTGAGCAACAAGCAGCTGTTTTCATGACATTATCCACTATCATCTCAAAACATCTTTCCTGAGTTTTAATGGTTAGCCCACATCACGGTTTTATAATTTTTGGTTATCAGTATTCCACATCATAACATCATGAAATGCACTGGGGGTTTGACTGTTGATGCTCAAGTTCCGGGTGCCTGTCCGGAGGAGAAGAACTACATTCTCCAAGGGGCTTTGCGATCAGCAAGGAGATATAACTCCTGGCAAGGTCACTTGTTCTCTTCTTCGCCTCCACTCCTCCATCTGCTCTTCTCCGTCTGCTTTTCTTCATCGGCTCAACTGGACTGCACTTCTCACCTCAGCGTTGTGGTGAGACCTATCTACCTATTTTGCTGATAGTTTCACCTCAGATTGTTGCCACCGTTTTGAGTTATTTTGGGGTCCCCCGTTTCCTTTTCCGGAGGTGCAGATCCGTGGATCCCTCTGCCCCACAAGTCATGGAACCGGGCCGAACCAGCCCAAAAACCACTGACAGTCCAGAACCTTTTTTCTTCCTTACATCACTTAACATATATTTCCATTAAATTTCATCTGCCATTTTACTGTGTGAACAATACAACACCTTCAGTGGACAGCCTAAATTTCACATTTCTCAAGCAATTGGAACTACTTTGATGTTCCAAATTTAAATAATACTTTACGCATTTTGTCTATGCCTTTACAGTTTTTCTGTAATACATTTTAGGAACAAAAAACAAGAGCTATAAAATGCTAACTGATCTCTAGTGGATCAAAAGAGCAATGTATCAATTTTCTAACCAGCATTAGAAAACAACTTTATGAATCATAATTTGGGTGTTTGACCTTTATTTGTTTGCATGACATGCAAACAGAAATGTCACATTCAGCATCTTTACAATGCAGAAATGTTGTATGTTCAATTTATTTGGAGTTTTGATATATATTACATTTGAAAATAGAACCATCATCTTTAAAGTGTCAAGTCATCACAGTCAAGGGCTCAGTAGAGGTTTTTTCACTTTTATGGGAAGACTCTATGAAATTAATTTTGATATAATGAAAGTTTATTGTCAACTGTACTCAAGTAAGACATGTATTAGTTCAGATTTCTGATATTTAAAACAAGAGGAGTATTATACTCACAATTTGTGAAGACTGCTAAGTCCAACAAACATTTCTGGTGTTAGGCAACCAATTCTGTTATTTGAAAGATCTCTGAAAAACAAACAAACAAATTAAAAAAACCAACAGTGAAACTTTAGTTCTACATTATTCATATACACACCTAGACAATCACAAACAGCCTCTTTAATTTTAATGCTTAAGGAGACAGATATAAGTGAGAAATAAAGCTTTCTTCAGTAACATGACTGAATTAAACAGCTTTCACAACATTATATAAAAGCTATTTAGCAATATTCCACACTTAAACATACCACACTGCAGCTTATATTAATTGCATTAAAATGTGATTATATAAATAAAAAAAGCAAAACTTATCATCAAAACAGCAGATTTATTCTTTATCACATTTCTTAGTGCCTGCTTGTTATGTGCAATAGTTAGTCAAGACGGACACACTTTTACTGTTTACTAACGTTATTATCTCCTGGGTATCATTCACTCTTGTTGAAGAAATCACAGAAACCAAGGAGCAGTTAATTTTTCAGCCAGTAAGAAGTTCAGTCCTGATAAGTACTAGAAAAGCTCTTCCAAGAGCAATACAGTGACTGCCTCAGACTTCGAATACTACAAAGCATTGTGTTCTGTAACTGTTGTCTGCAGAAAGATGAATGGGTGCTTTCTCTACAATTCACATGTACAACAAAATATAGAATCCTTTTAGAAAGAAAACAAAAGAAGGTATAAACAATCATGTTGTGATAGCAACAGGAATTCTGCTCTCGGGAATATTCTGAAATGATGCTTAATTTTCAAGTATTTGATTTTCAACCTTGACTACAGTTTTGTTTTGTTTTGCTTTTTTTAATATAAGTGTAGTAATCTAAGTATTTTAAGTGATAAAATACCCATTAAAACATTAAATTTTATCTGAATATATTTTTGTTATAGAATCAGCGGTAGCCTTCTAAGTTCTTTATTGCATTGTGCAACAATATCTTTCTCTTGCTACAAGAGAACACAAACATAATCAAAACAGGAGAATAAAGATGAATGAGTTTGATAAATTCAGTTGTTGCTTTCATGGAGAAATACCCAATATGCTAGAATGTGAAGGCAAAGTTTTTAGAATTCACTACAAAGTCTTCTTCCATCAGACAAAGAATATATTGCTGTGCAATGAAATGATGAAATATTGCATTAGAATGAAAATATTGCTTAAATGCTAATCAGGGATATGAAGTAGGCAACAGCTTTAGAAAATAGTCTGCAGAACAATATATTGCCAAAATCGCAAATTAGCTGTTATTCTCTACATTTTTCTAGGGAAAGCTACATACAAAATCTTAAAACACAACCTCAAGACAAATACACATTTATTCAGATGTATCCTTTCCTTAAAGAATTAAATAGTAAGCAAGAATCCACTCAGAATTCTTAGTAGGGTAGTGCTTTATTTCAGTCTGAGGAAAGTCTGAACACATACAGAACAAAACACATCAAAATGTGGAGCATGACTTGAGTGGCAGAAGTAAATTCCACCTAAACTAATCAAAACTAATCAAAACAAGTCATTTTTCTCAAAATGCGACACAGTAAAATGGTATTTTTAACAAAGCAAAAGGCTATCTTTCCTCTTCTGAAGGTTTTTATCAGTGTTATTTTCACGGTAAGATGTATGTGGCTGAAATCTCTGCATTATAAAACCCATTTTTAAAGGCAAAAAGAAAAGATAGCTTTCTGCATATTCTTCCAGACTAATACATATTATATTAGGTGTTATTCAATTCATAATGTACAAAGCTGGTGCTCCTTTTCAGGAGTAAGACATTTACCTTAATAACATTGACTTGTTAAATTGATGTGAGGGAAAGCAAAACTCTCCCCTGTTGAATAACCAAGTGTCATAATTTTAGTGCTTCATAAATTTTCAATTTGCAGCAGTTTTCTGTGTCCCTTTTTAAGTAAACCTTTGAAACAATTCAATTTTTCATTTGAATACAAATTGGAAGATTTCTGCAAATCATTTGCAGAAAACATTTTGATGTAGACAGCCTGCCGTTTATCTTCCTGCCTTGACATAGTTGTATCTCCTGCAATTGCCCATTTTACACCAACTTCAACATGTGAAATAAGAAGATATGAATATAAAGTGCAGCCTTAAAATAATGACTGTATTCAGCATTCAACAGGAGTTTATAATATTTATTCTTTCTGCTGAGCTGTCTGCTATCCAACTGTTGAAGAGCTGAAGACTGCAGAGATTTTCTTACCACAAATTATACCTATTTGTATCAAACTTGAGAAGCTGGTAATTAATCAACTCACTGTCTCTTGTTTGCTCCCAGTGTTACACATTCATGCCAGAAAGAAAGGATCTTTTTCAGGTCTATCCTGAGAAATCCTAACATTACCATTCCTCATTTTCTAAAGAGTCATTTCTTTTCATTTTTCCTAACACCATATGATTTGATCTGCTTGGACTTCTCTCTGACAGCTGATCTAAGTTTCACCTGTCTAAGTTTCCAGCATACAGCCCAGGACATGAACAGGCTTCCCGTTTTTCCCACCAGAGGTCAGGGTTGTGTTATTAGAGTACGTGGCCAAAGCAATAATTAGCGCTTGTTTTGATCATTTCATTTTTATCCCTAAATGCAGTGAACACAGAAATGTCAACCTTATGTTTCTGTTTGCATTAAAAATGCATAGACTGCTCTGACTTCATAAGTACTATGTCATCCGCTTTGTAACCAAACGCACTAAAAGTTACTGGTTGGTGTCAGAAGACACTGCTAGCTGTGCAATCAGAGATTGAAACTTTTATTTACTTTTATGGTTCAATCAGACATTTAACCTCAGAGAAAAAAAAGTGGACAGATTAAAATTTTTCTCGCCTTGCATTCCTCGTCATCTAAATTTTATTATTCTCCTAAAGTAATTCTCATTTTCTCACAAGTCTCTTCACCTGAGACACTGTGCACAATGCCAAGCAGACCTCAGGCACTGATGGCTGCTTTTGCTACATGTGGCCATTTGGATGCTGGCACTTGGAACACTTTAAAAAGAGGTTTTCGAGTTCTGAAGAATGAAGGAGGATCTGTAGCCTGTATTAAATAAAAGGAAAAAGCCCCTCTTGTAGAACTGTGGTAACTTTGATATTTTTACCTGTTTAAAATGTAGTTTAAAAACCAGTCAGTGCTTCTGAAAGTACTTTGACAAGATTGGCAGTGAGAGGAACACAGGAATGACAGACGGGACAAATTGTATAAGTATTCTTATTAAAAAGGCAAAAATAAAAATATATCCAGCAGAGTTAATGCGAGAGATAAGACAATTGTAGGCAAGTTCTGAAAGATGAAAAAGTTTCCTTTCTAAGAACTTATTTTACAGACCTGGCCTGTGATAAAAGTAAGTAAACTGTACATAATGAAAAAAAAAACAAAAACCTTAGCATAGCATAAAGCTATGCTTACACAGAAATGCTTACACTTATTTAAAACCCTTGGTTTTATTTCCAATGAATGTCTACTGCGATGTACTGTCTGCTACGTCAATAATTAGGTGTGTTTTTGAACTTTGGAGAAGTACCTTTAAAGACATTTATGGGAAAGCAGAGGTATACTTAAATGGGAAAAAAGAAAGGGAAAAAAGAAAAAGGGAAAAAAAAAATAAAAGGATGGTAAATGTAAAAAGTACAGCGTTTGATTTTTTATTCTCCAGACAGTGTCCTCATTCTACTATTGCTTGGTGGCATATGTGAGTTGCCCACGGATAGAAATGTTGATACAAGCACAATTTTCAGAATAATTCAAATGGAATTAATACTTACAGGCGCTTCAGCTCTGAAAGTCCATGGAAGGCCCCTGGCTCAATTGTGCTAATCAAATTATTCTTCAGATCTCTAGAAAGACATGAGAGAAGGAGCAATTAATTACCACTTTCCCTATTGTACAAGTGCTATACAAGAGGAATGATGAATGTAATGCAATTCTAACCTTTATTTGTCTTCTATAAAAAATGTAATTTCTTTTAAATTGCAACACCAAAACCATTACATCTTTTTCAGTTTATAAAACCATATTTTTCAAAATTATAAGGTTAATATTAGATTTAAAAAATACCTGTTTTAATTATTCTCTTACTTGCAATTTTCTAAACAAGCTTACCAGCCATTCTTGCCCCAGGAAAAATGTTTTAATCAATGAGTGAATAAAATAGTCTGCAAAACAAGAGCCTTTTAGTTTGCTTATTACTTGTGCTGTGCACTTCACATTTAATACATTTCTCATTTCCATGTAATGTAGGCAAAGCAGCTGTCATGCAATACATAAACAGACAGGTCAGCCTTCTGTCTTGAAATACAAGTAATTTCTCATTTTTGGCAGATAGGTGCTTCATTTTGTAGTTGGTGACATCCAGAGGATCAGTTGTTATGCAGATAAAGATCCTACTGGCATTAGTAATCTCAACTGCTCTTGGCACAGTGCTTGGGGCCACGACACTTCTCTCAATTCAGTCCCCACAGAGATTTACTATGGAATTGTCTCCGGCCTCTCCAAGATGTGAGCACTGAGGAAATGCCTTCAGTCCAATTAGATAAGCAGGCCTAGGAGACAAACGCTGCAAATTCTTGCACAGTCACTGTTCATCTTCTGACAATTTACAATTTATAGGGAATGACTGGTGTGCAATAATATCAGTGCTGTTTCTCAGATTGGCCACTTCCAGCACATACCAGCCACTGCTTCACCTCTGCCAAATGACAGCAGAGTCACCTTATTTATGACTCTCTATTTTATTGCAAATAAAATGCATGCTGAGTTAAATCATGGTTCCACACAAAGTAGGATTGACCTCTCAATAGGGTGAGATTTTATCCCAAATGATTAACTCACACTAAGACATATTTTAATTTGAAATTTGAATTATTTTACAATCAGTTTTTGTATTTTACCAGTAAATTTTTCAGGTCTTTTGAATGCAGTTCCAAAAACATGTGCTTTACACCCTTTTTGCTTTAGTAGTGATGCTGACAAGTGGTATGTCCCTAGTTAAAGTCTCTGATTCATAAAGGTTGAGTTCAGCTTTCAGCCTGCATCGCTATTACTTATGTCCAAGAAGTCTTACATATTAGAAATGCAGAGCTATAGAAGCACAGCAGGCAAACTATATGCTGTACCCCATCCTGTGACATCATTGAACAAAATAAACAGGAGAAAGGTAGGAAGGAAGGTACGGATTTAAAATTGAGAGGAAACAATAAGCTGTCCTTTGAGTCTTACTAAAATGCAGATAGCATTACATATACTTACTAACAGCATAACATAAACTGAAGTAACAAGGATTCATAACACCATGAGACAAATTAGAAAGCATTTTAGCTATGTCTCTCCAAAAAAACAGTGTTTTTGTTTCATACCATTTTTATCTTAGCTTCATTTAGATATGCCAAAACTCCTTTGCTTCAGTTGTTTTCACTAATAAATCATTATTCATTCATAATGCAAATAAAATAAAGTCAATAAAATAGGTTAATCTGAGTCCAACACGAACACAATGGATACTATAAGGAAATATTAAAAACACTATTACACTATAAGGAAATATTAAAAACACTATTACACTTTTCAAGCACTGATGTAACTTCTAAACAGCGATGCAAGAACATGTGCATATCAGTACATATGCATACTTTAAATACATGCATTACATAGCACATGTCTGTCCTAGTTGCCTGAGCCACAGTGACAGTCCCTCAGGTGCTAAGCCAGCAGAAAGCATAAAACCCAGGAGAGTTACCTTTTCCCTGTTGGTGTACCATATGGAGACACAGCCATAGCTGCCCTGCCTGACAAAGGGAATGAGAGCCCATAATATTCTCCAGAGTCTTAAGGAAACAATAGGATGAGCCAGAGGCAGGGAAAGAAGGGGAGTGAGAAAGCAGCAGTTCTGGAGACAGGTAAAGAAAGGTGTCATAAAGGGGCGATGCTTGGGCAAGGATCTTGATGGTGATTTGAGCATTTGTGGGAAGGCATGAAGGTCTATGACAGTTTTAGACTTAGGTGTAAGCTTTTTTCTTCTTCCAGAAAATCACCAAGTATAGCAAAGGCAGAAACACAAATCTCAAGGCTGTTCCTTAAAAACATGCCAGTAGAGCACAAAACAACCCCACAGACAGCAGAGAGAAATAGGGATGACAACCATCCTCCTGCAGATTCTCTGCCCCACTCGCTAACCCAGGCAGAGCAGTTTTCTCTCTTGTGGTGTCTCCTCCTGCAGGATTTGGATGAAAGTGGCAGCTGCAGATTTTATTGCAAATGAGATACAGTCGATAACATTTTTCATTATAAAAAAAACACTATGTAAGAATTGGAAAAAGCTTTTTCTCCGCACCCGCTCATAAACAAAAAGCTTCACACAAAACTTCTGCAGTCTCTTTTCCAGAGTCCCATCAAAGACAGTTCAATATCATTGGTTTTTTATTAATTCTTTTCTATGTGAGTGGTGAGGTGCTGGAACAGGCTGCCCAGAGAGGTTGTGGATGCCCCGTCCCCTAGAGGTGTTCGAGGCCAGGTTGGATGGGGCCCTGGGCAGCCTGGTGTAATATTAAATGGGGAGGTTGGTGGCCCTGCATGTGGCAGGGGGGTTGGAGTTTCATGATCCTTGAGGTTCCTTCCAACCCCGGCCATTCTGTGATTCTGTGATTGGTAAAAAGTTAACTGACAGGAGTGTATTTTCCTTCGATGGCTTAGCATTACTGCTAGTTAAATACGTAACTAAACAGGTCAAAGGGAGTTCTTTAGTTTGTAAAAATGAGCCCATATGGCAAAGAAAGAAAGGACACTGTCCTCATTATCGGAGCTTCTGTATTCTTAGAATTTAAAAGACAAACAAGCAAACCAAAATAAAACAAAAACAGTCAGATAAGATACATTTTTGGATCTACGCTGTTTTACACCTCATGCTTCACACTGGAATCCATCTAAAACCAACTTAAACACACAGTTCAGAGCAAACATCCACATTTTAAAGCAGGGATAACTGACAATTTTAAGCTTTACATCAATTATACACATTTTCTGTTAACTGCCAGCTCATCTAGATGCTCCACAAGTTGTAACTAGATGAATCAGCACTATGGGCTGTAAAAGATGATAAGCAGCTCACAACAAATGAATCAGAAGGAGTGGAAAACTGTTTCCAGGTGAGCTTTAATGACAGTAAAAACAACCAAGTAGACAAAAGATCCTCCATTTACTGAAATCTTTTATGCTCCATTTTATGGTAACTCTCCTGTTTCTCCATAACTTGTAACCACATAGGAAAAAAACAGCTTAATCCTAAACTATCATCTACAGGAATAAAAATGTCCGGTTTCATGTTAGAAGAGGCAGACTATTTCAAGGAAAAGTGTCCATCAGTTGCACTGTTCCAGACAAAGACATCTGGTCTCCTTATTTTGGAAATTGCACTTAAATCACAGAATCACAGAATCACAGAATCGTAGGGGTTGGAAGGGACCTCCAGAGATCATCGAGTCCAACCCCCCTGCCAAAGCAGGATCCCTACACCAGGTCACACAGGTAGGCGTCCAGGCGGGTCTTGAATATCTCCAGAGAAGGAGACTCCACAACCTCCCTGGGCAGCCTGTTCCAGTGCTCCGTCACCCTCACCGTAAAGAAGTTCTTGCGCACATTGGTGCGGAACTTCCTATGCTCCAGCTTCTGGCCATTTCCCCTTGTCCTGTCTCCGCACACTGCTGAAAAGAGTCTGGCCTCGCCACTTTGCCCCCCACACCTTAGATATTTATAGACCTGGATCAGGTCCCCTCTCAGTCTTCTCTTCTCAAGGCTAAACAGACCCAGCTCACTTAGCCTTTCCTCATAGGGGAGATGCTCCAGGCCCTTCACCATCTTTGTGGCTCTCCGCTGGACTCTTTCCAAGAGATCCCTGTCTTTTTTGTACTGGGGAGCCCAGAACTGGACACAGTACTCCAGATGAGGCCTTACCAGGGCAGAGTAGAGGGGGAGGATAACCTCCCTCGACCTGCTGGCCACGCTCCTTTTAATGCACCCCAGAATGCCATTGGCCTTTTTGGCCACAAGGGCACACTGCTGGCTCATGGCCAACCTGTCGTCCACCAGGACACCCAGGTCCCTCTCCACAGAGCTCCTCTCCAGCAGGTCATCCCCCAACCTGTACCGGTGCATGGAATTATTCCTCCCTAGGTGCAAGACTCTACACTTGCTTTTGTTAAACTTCATCTGGTTCCTTACTGCCCAGCTCTCCAGCCTGTCCAGGTCTCGCTGAATGGCAGCACAGCCTTCGGGCGTGTCAGCCAATCCTCCCAACTTCGTATCATCAGCAAACTTGCTGAGGGTGGCCACTACCCCCTCATCAAGGTCATTGATGAAGATGTTGAACAGGACCGGTCCCAGCACCGACCCCTGGGGAACACCGCTGGTTACAGGTCTCCAACCAGACTCTGCACCGCCAATGACAACCCTCTGTGCTCTGCCAGTCAGCCAGTTCTCAACCCACCTCACTGTCCACTCATCTATCCCGCACTTCCTCAGCTTCATTATAAGGATGTCGTGGGAGACAGTGTCAAATGCCTTGCTGAAATCAAGGTAGACTACATCCACTGCTCTCCCCCCATCCACCCAGCCAGTGACAACATCATAGAAGGCTACCAGGTTGGTCAAGCACGACCTCCCCCTGGTGAACCCGTGCTGACTACTCCTGATAACCTCCTTTTCTTCCAGTTGTCTGGAGGTCTAGCTAGGTCATTTTAGTAAAGATATTCTCAGAAAATTGTAGATGATTATACTACCCACAATCCTGGTGCTTTCTTAGTAATTAGTATTATTCCATAATGTTTCCATATACTTCTGGCCTAAC